CTAGAGTCGGATTCGACTGGCTTTCGAGCAAGGGAACCTTTACCTTTACTTAATATAAGGAAATAAGAAAAAGATGAGGGTATAAACAAGATTGGGATCAAGTTATAAACAGACGATATGTCACCTCAATGGTCGGGGGTTTTTTTTGTTTGGTTTCAAAAGGAGTATAATCTATTTGGAAAGTAATATCTGTATGAAATTGTAATTTAAATATAAAATAGATAAATAAATAAATAAATATATACTCAATTAAAAAATAATTTTTTTAAAAAGCCATTCACGCTAAACCCTGTGAAACCCCTGTGCGTCTTTTCCCGCCAGGTCGAAAACGAAACCAACCAGCTCCAAGACGGCTCCCTGATCGACCTGTGTGGCGCGACCCTGCTGTGGCGTACGGCGGAGGGCCTCTCCCGCACCCCGACCGTGAAGCATCTGGAGGCTCTGCGGCAGGAAATCAACGCGGCCAGGCCCCAGTGCCCGGTGGGTTTCAACACGCTGGCCTTCCCCAGCATGAAGAGGAAAGATGTGGTCGACGAGAAGCAGCCCTGGGTTTACCTGAACTGTGGCCACGTCCACGGCTACCACAACTGGGGGAACAAGGAAGAGAGAGACGGGAAGGATCGGGAATGTCCAATGTGCCGCTCGGTCGGCCCTTACGTGCCTCTCTGGCTGGGATGCGAAGCTGGGTTTTACGTGGACGCGGGGCCTCCGACTCACGCGTTCAGCCCGTGCGGACACGTCTGCTCGGAAAAGACAACTGCCTATTGGTCCCAAATCCCTCTACCGCACGGGACCCACACGTTTCACGCAGCCTGTCCCTTCTGCGCACACCAGCTTTCCGGCGAGCAGGGCTACATCAGACTTATCTTCCAAGGACCTCTCGACTAACACACACGGCTCGCCCCGGGACATCATTCAAAAACTCGTAAAAACATAAGCTAAAGGATTCTGAATTCAAACGGACTGTCATCTGAAATCGACTATTGTTTCATTCTCTGGGCTTTGGCAGTTTACTTTGAGATGAAGAATACCTTTTTCTTCCTTTTCTCCGCCTCCCCCCCCCCTTTTTGTAATTTCGGTGATTAAACTCCTTTGTAGATAATGGAAGACGTTTTTCTGTGTAGAAGGAAGCAGCAGAGGCGGACTGGGGAGCGCCCGGAAGTCGTCCTTGGCCGTCACTTCTTTTGTGTGTGACGGGGAAGATTAAGATTCTTTGCCTTCGGTGTAATGTTTTGAAGAACATGCCTTCAATATCTAAAAAGTTGTGTGTGTGTGTCTCTCTCTCTCTCTCCTTTTTATAAAGTGTATAATCCAAGTAAAAAGTGATCAGTTCAAAAGGACATTGATTTACAGTTTTGGATGCAGCCACTGTGTAAAATAGAACATTATGTATAGTAACTCCCTTTTTTCCCTATTTATCTTTACTCTGGAAAAAAAAAATTATCCTAGATGACTTGGATAGACTAGCGTGGTGGTAGAAGTGTTGCATCCGTTGATTGGATGTGTAGATTAGTTCTGGTCCAGGAAAGAGGGTGGGTCAGCTTTTTCCGAACGTCTCAAACAAGGTTAAGTTGATGGGGGGGGGATGTTTTTAAGCAGAATGAATGCAAGTGACATTGACGTACTGTTTTTCTTTTCTTTTTTTCTTTTTCACAGCACAAAAAAGTGCTTAACCACATGTCAGATAATCCAAGTAAAAGATTTCCTCTATTTTCTCCCCCCCCCCTCCTCTCTTTTTCTATGTCTGGTCTAACTGTAACGAATGAACTGGTCACATGAAATTTACCTGGTATTGGAATATGCAATTTACCCTCCATGAATTTCTTTCCTCTCCTCCTCCATGTTAACTATTCGGGGTGGGGGGTGGGGGAATTGTTGTGGGGGTTTTTTGGCATTTGCAGCAGTGAAAGGGTTTATGTTTATTTAAATAAAACAAAATAACCGAGTTTTTACTGGTTGGTGTTTTCGACTCCCCCCCAACCAACGTACATTAACAAAGTTAACTTGAAAACAAATCAAACACTATTATAACGCCCCTGTATACATCAATGGTGCGACCTCATTTGGAGTACTGTGTACAGTTCTGGTCACCACACCTCAAAAAGGATATTCTAGCATTGGAAAAAGTGCAGAAAAGGGCAACTAGAATGATAAAAGGGTTGGAACACTTTCCCTATGAAGAAAGCTTAAAGTGCTTGGGGCTCTTTAGCTTGGAGAAACGACGGCTGAGGGGTGACATGACTGAGGTTTACAAGATTATGCATGGGATAGAGCAGGTTGAGAAAGAAATCCTTTTCTCCCTTTCTCACAAGACAAGGACTCATGGGCACTCAGTGAAATTGCTGAGCAGTCAGGTTAGAACGGTTAAAAGGAAGTCCTTCTTCACACAAAGAGGGATTAACACATGGAATTCACTGCCACAGGAGGTGGTGGCAGCTACAAGCATGGACGGCTTCAAGAGGGAGTTAGAATAAGCATATGGAGCAGAACCATCAGTGGCTACGAGCCACAAGGTATAGATAGGAACTCTTGGTCTGGGGCAAGTGATGCTCAGTATTCTTGGTGATTGCTGGGGGGGTCAACAGTGCGAGGGCTTCTAGTGTCCTGGCCCCACTGCTGGACCTCCTGATGGCACCTGGTGTTTTTGCCCACTGTGTGACACAGAATGTTGGACGGGATGGGCCTTTGGCCTGACCCAACATTGGCTTCTTCTTATGTTCTTAAGGTGGCCAAAAATCCTGCATATGTGATTAGAAACAGATACAAAGGGGACCACTCTAGACTAGCCTGGAAATATGTTTTCTTTACATAGATACTTGAATCCAGGGCTATTTTTGGGCAGGAACGCACAGGAACGGAGTTCCGGCTGGCCCCCAAGTTGACCACGCCCAGCAGGAACTCATTAGCATAATAGGCCACACCCAATAGCAGAAACTCATTAGGATTGGCTACATTAGGGGTGTGGCCTAACATGCAAAGGAGTTCCTGCTACAAAAAAAGCCCTGGGTTTTGACAACAAACAAGGTAAACAGAATAAGAAGCAAAAGGTGGGTGTGGCTGGATGACCACACTTCTGGCAACACGGGGTGCAGCCTAATGTTAATGAGCTATGCTCTCATGGGTGTGGCCGGATATGCTAATGAGTTCCTGCTGTTGGGTGTGGCCTATTATGCTAATGAGTTCCTGCTGGACTTTTTCTACCAAAAAAGCCCTGCTTGAATCTATAAGAAGCCATGTAGGGTTGGATCCAGAGTAAATTTTTCATTAGCGGAATGGAACTTTCCTCCAACCCCCGATTGGGGTGGGGGCCCCCCCCCTCCTTGCGCTCCTGGCCAGTAAGGAGGGGCCCCCCCCGCCGCCATTCCTGGCTCGCCTGTGCAGGCAGACGGGCCAGGGAAAACCTGCAGAGCCCCCTGCCACCTGGGGGGGATTTAAATGCCTTTCTTTCCCTTCCCCATCTTTAGGTCTTTAGAGTGGCTTTGGGTCTCCACAAAATCCAAAACTGAATACAAAATTTGATGGTGGAAAATGCCATCAAGTCGCAGCTGACTCCTACCATTCCATTCCAGTTATGGCAGAACCTTTTTCGAGCAGTATGATTCCTGCGGAGCCAGTTCGGTGTAGTGGTTAAGTGCGCGGACTCTAATCTGGGAGAACCGGGTTTGATTCCTCACTCCTCCACTTGCACCTGCTGGTCCAAGCCATAGTTCTGGCACAGCTGTCCTTGAAAAAGAGCAGTTTCTGTCAGAGCTCTCTCAGCCCCACCTATCTCAAAGGGTGTCTGTTGTGGGGAGGGGAAGGGGAAGGAGATTTGTAAGCCACTCTGAGACTCCTTTGGGTAGTGAAGTAAAAGGTAAAGGTAAAGGTTCCCTTGCTTGAAAGCCAGTCGTGTCCGACTCTAGGGTTGCAGTGCTCATCTCCGTTTCAAAGCCGAAGAGCCAGCGCTGTCCGAAGATGTTTCCGTGGTCATGTGGCCAGCATGACTAAACACCAAGGCGCACGGAACGCTGTTACCTTCCCACCGAAGTGGTACCTATTTATCTACTTGCAATTTCTTGCTTTCAAACTGCTAGGTTGGCAGGAGCTGGAACTCGGGTCTCGGGTCTCGGGACTCGGGACTCGGGTCTCAAACTGCTGAATTACTGAATTACTGACCTTCCACAGCCTGCAATTCAGCTTCTTAACCACTTGAGCCACCGCAGCTCCTGGGTAGTGAAGGGTGGGGTATAAATCCAATCTCTTCTTCTCTTATGTTCCTGAGCCGCTTTGCAACTTTCTGTGAATTATTGTGGTTCTGTTTAGTCACACCAGTCCCATGCTGCCATTGAATGTCTTGTGGATTCCATCTGGCTGGATACTCTTGACAACAGAATACCAGGTCAAACTGTCTCTTACTCTGAGATCCAGCAGGGCTGTTCATGTTCTTTAGAAGCACGAGATCAAACGCATGGTACTCCCACCACAAAGTATACTACGTTGGTTGGGGTCCTTTGATTCTGTTGAGCGAATGCTGGCGCTTTCCTCTGGTGGGAGACGTACGTCCCAGTCAGTGTTCCCTCTAAGCTGAGTTAGTGTGAGCCAGCTCACAGTTCTTTAGCCTCCAGCTCAAGCATTTTTGCCTTAGCTCAGGGAGGACGGCTCCAGAGCAAACTAATTTATGCAGCAGCCGAATCGTTCACTCACAACTTTAATGCCAGTTGCTCACAAAGAAGAATTTTTGCTCACAAGACTCCACAGCTTAGAGGGAACAATGGTCCCAGTTGAGGAATTGTACTGCTCGAGGAAGGTTCTGCCATAAGTGGAATGGAATTGTAGGATCCAGCCCTACGGCTACCAATCATGGAATTGGGCAGAATTCTCGGGAACGCTGCTTCCGTTATTTTAAAAGGGCAAACTCGTGGAAGAAGTATTGGCATTTTCTGTCAGAAACTGGGAAGGCCAAGCACTGGTGTTGCTTCTAAATCCTCGTAGATCTGCTAGAAACCTACCAGAACCCTGATCGAGCATAAAGCACTACCACTGAGAAAGCAGTGTATCAGGTCACCACCTTCAACCTTCTGCAAGCGAGGACACAGAAAACAGGGTATCAGAAGAGGATATTCGCTGTGGACGGGACAGTACAGGAGTAGCTGGTCACCAAGCCGTTCGGGGTCTTTAAAGTAAGAACCCACCCTTCAAAGTGTGCTTGGAAACACCTGTCAGATATTTTTGGAACTGGCACTGGTCTGTTCCAGAAGTACTTCTGTCCAATCGATTTCACCCAGATTTGGGTTAGGAATGATCCATAACAATGATCCACTTGCAGCTGCTGGATGACCTTGGGAAGTGAGAGTTCTGACAAGAGCTGTCCTGGAAAGAGCTCTCTCAGCCCCGCCTACCTCACAGGGTGTCACTTGTGGGGAGGGAAAGGGAAAGGACTTTGTAAGCTGCTCTGAGACTCCTTTGGGTAGTGAAGGGCGGGGCATGAATCCAATCTCCTCTTCTTCCGACCTTCCTCCAGGAAGTCTTCCTCCAGCCTAAGGATACAGTTTGGTGTCGTGGTTAAGTGCGTGGACTCTAATCTGGGAGAACCGGGTTTGATTCCCCACTCCTCCACTTGCAGCTGATGGATGACCCTGGGTCAGTCACAAGTTCTCGCCGAGCTGTTCTCTCACGAGCAGTCCTTGAAAGAGCTCTCTCAGCCCCACCTCCCTCACAGGGCCTCTGTTGTGGGGAGGGGAAGGGAAAGGAGACTGTAGGCTGCTCTGAGAGTCCTTCGGGTAGAGAAGGGTGGGGTATAAACCCAATCTCTCCCTCCTCCTCCTCTAGAATAAATGTGGAGCAGTCCTCTAAAGAGCTCTCTCAGCCCCATCTCCCTCACAGGGTCTCTGTTGTGGAGAGGGGAAGGGAAAGGAGTTTGTAAGCCGCTCTGAGACTCCTTTGGGTAGTGAAGGGTGGGGTATAAATCCAATCTCTTCTTCTTCTTTTGCCTCACAGGGTGCCTGTTGTGGGGAGGGGAAGGGAAAGGAGGTTGTAAACTGCTCTGAGACTCCTTCGGGTAGTGAAGGGCGGGGTATAAATCCAATCTCTTCTTCTTCTTTTGCCTCACAGGGTGCCTGTTGTGGGGAGGGGAAGGGAAAGGAGGTTGTAAACCGCTCTGAGACTCCTTCGGGTAGTGAAGGGCGGGGTATAAATCCAATCTCTTCTTCTTCTTTTGCCTCACAGGGTGCCTGTTGTGGGGAGGGGAAGGGAAAGGAGGTTGTAAGCCGCTCTGAGACTCC